GTATATTCAGCTCCTTTACTTCCTTTAACTTTAGGGCCATGACACTTTATTCAGTTACTATCCCAGCTCTGGTATGCTCATAAAAAATTCACACCTGTTTCACAAATGCTCACCTGTTTAACAGACTCAGGTTTAAAGGAAAGGAAGTTTTTTTGCTTAATTATGAAAGTATAACTTGCTTATTTTAAAGGAATTCCTACTATGACATTTGCTGTTTACAGGCTGTAAAAGCAAAACTGCCCAGTGAATCGAAAGGGACAAAAAAGGGAGGGGGAGGGAAAAATAAAAGAGAGAGAAAAGAATTACTTGGATTGAAATATCTTTCCTTAACCTTGTGGAAGAGAAGCTTCTCCGACTTGGCAGCAGAGTACAATGAAAATGAAATCAATGCCAAGTGTCTTATCCTGAGCTCTGAATGAGCAAAGTTCCCATTGACTTTCAAGATTTCTTCCCCTGCAAATGGCATTCGGGAGCATTACCTGCACCTAGGGCACGTCCAGCACTATGTTCTGTCTCTCCCCTTTGTGTCTCTCCCCTTTGAGTGGATGTATAGAATTTTTGAAATCAGCACAGCAAGCTGTGAATGATGCATGAAATGAATAAGCTGAGTCTTGTACAAAGGGGAAATCCTGAAGGCTTGGTGCAATCACTGCTCTACTATTTCCTATGGCCTGCATAGAAAAGATGCATAATATTCTCCACAGAGACAAAGGGAGCAGCTCACCGAGGCCAGAATCTCAATCAGAAGCCGCAGAAGAGATAAATGACAGCAGCTCACAAGTTTTGAACGTTGCTTAATTTCCCTCTTCTTGCTAAGCTGCTCCCCACGGGTGCCTGGCTCTCAGCCCTGGCTGCACGTGGAATGTACACACGGGGATGGGCTCTCAGAGCCCCCCTCACTTTGCATTTCTTCACAGCCAGCCCAGTTTATGCAGGAGTTTGTGTTTCACACCTCACCCCATCAGCCATGGGGAGTTGGCACCAATCCCCCAGCATGGGATGGCCAAAGCATGGAAAAAGGTGCTGATTTTTCCACAAGATCAACGGGATGTGTTAAACCCCCATAACTTCTTCCTCATGTGGACTTGAATTGGAGACTTCAATGATATCAGCACAAATATTTTCAAACCAGGCCAAACCACGCTCAGATTGATTAGTCTTAATTTGATGTATTCCTGAATAAATAGAAATATATTATAGTTGAACTTAGCAACAGCATTAAAGATGAGCATCCTGAGCACAATGCTGTGGTACATATTTCTTTTTCATCATGGAGAAGGAATGAATACATCTTTTTGTGGATGTGCTGTGACCTCTCCCAGTTCTCTTGCTCTCTCTCATGTTTGCTCACATGCTTTGCAATCTCTCCTGCTGCACTAAGGAGGTAGAGATATTTTAGAAACTGGAAAACTGAGGTTTAATACAGATACTGAGCTTCTGAGGATGCCTTTGGAAGAAGCAAATCTAAAATCCTGTCTGCCTGACTTGCAACACAAAGAAGTTGGCTGTGAATGGTATTCACAGCAAAGAATAATTAATTCCTCATCCTCAGGACATTCTGTTGGGAAAAAGTCACTGTTGCATTGATTGCTGCATCCAGTGGCATCAATTAAAAGTTGTCATAGGGAAGTATGTGGAAAACTAATCTGGAAATCTGCATTAACCACTAAATTACCCCATGCAAACACCTCTGCAATGATGGCTACCCACACCTTCCTTGAGAAATCATAAAAGAAATGGATTCAAATTTTCTCTCTTTGTTATTTCAGAGTTTTGTCAGAATTTAGTGATGGAATTTACCATAGAAATAATCTGAATCTGCAGCATGTGAATAAACTGGATATGACTACAGGAAACCAGGGGTCAAGGTCTGTGTTAGTGGTAAAGAAACCATTTCAAGCTTCTTACTTCTGCAGGCACCGAGAACAGCAGCAGCATTCCAGTCCTGAACATCACCCAGCTTCAGGTTTCAGGTGTACTCATTCCTGAGAAATCATCCTTTCCCTTAGCACTGGAGGATAGTTACACAAGTTCCCGCCTTCCTAATAATGTTCCTGAGAAGTATCTTTTTAGTCCCTTGTTTGATATGGGACAGCTAAAAAGATAATTTATGAATGTTTTCACAAAGTGTCTATGCTAATGGTTTTTCTGAATTTAGTCTTCATCTCTTCTTGTAGCAAAGAAACAGCAGAAATACAAAAACATGCACTTTAGTATGTATTCTTAAAATATTCTTAAAATACTCACCATTAGTTTCCTCTACTAGTTATTATACTTTACTCACTGTTTCAAAAATTTAACTTTTAACTATTTTAACTTACCAACTTTTTTGCAATAAATTAACTCTGAAGTTCTTTGCCATAGGAAGGAACCATGAAAACGTAACCCAGTACACGGGATTTTGACAAACCAACAGCACCAAGTGTTACCTTCCCCTCAAAAACAGGTTAAAACAAAAGCCTAAATATTGCCATGACATTTTAATGCCAGCATTAACCTCTCCAGAGCCAGTGCTCTATCATTCTAAAGATAAAGGGTGCACTTGCATTTATGCTGGATGTTGTAGAATAAGGCTGGAGTGGTTTTAACTGTGCAAAGAGCTGCTGGTGATGGTGCACATGCAGCAGCCCAGCCCTTCCTAGTTTGGAACTTTACCTGTGAATGTTACTGAGCTCTCCCACACCAGCAGGGGAAGGAAATCCTGCCTGGGCAGTGCTAAAAAGGCATTTAGATGTAATGCCTGCATGCATGCCAGAGGGATGTCAAGGGTGAGATACCCTGCAAATTTAAAAATGGAGTTCAGCACAAGTAAAACAAACCTTCATCAGGTCTAAAGAGAACATATTTCTGTATTTCTTCAGGAGGAAAATCTCCTGGACCCAAGCAAAGGCTGTAACTGCTCTTTGGGGGAAAAAAGTTGCCTTTCAGGCAATGTCTCCTTCCATACTGTTAGCTCTCTAGTGAAAAACACTCCTGTGGAGGGAAGAAGAGGCTGTATCTGTATTTGTACCTAATGTACAGGGCTGGGCTCCAAGGGCCTGTCCAGTCCAGTGTGTGCAGTTTTCAGAACCCTTCCCACAGCTCTGAACACAGCTTATGAACTTTGGGATAAAGTTTAGCCCCAGGAAGCTGAGAACTGCTTTGGGAATTTTACCTGGACATCTCAAAACCAGTAAATCAGGAAAAGCAGCCCTAAGCCAAACCACTGATAGGACCTTCCAGAGAGAGCAAGGCACAGACATTTATAGAGAGACATTTCTCTGTGACCCCTCAGGAACTCGCTCACAGACTCTCCTTAGGCCCTGACTTAGGCCAGACAAGAATAACTTGTGCTTGAAAATACTACAAACTCTAAAAAACAGTGTTTCTCCTCTTTCATGGCAGAGAATCCACTTCCACAAAACCCAGATGTAAAGAACAAATATTTATAATGATGCAGCTGCAGTTTGAAGACACCAAGTACAATTCCAGTGCTGGCAGCTGCTCACCTGCTCAGGAGCCCTGGCTTTTGTCAGACCTGCACCTGCAAACCTGCCTGGGAAGGTGGAAGGAGGATTGTTTCAGAAAATGGGAATTTCACTCTTCCCCACTGAGAGCTGTCCTGGCACTGCCGGTTCTGGAGAGTACAGGGGAACAGTTTGAGATGAAATCGGTCCTGCTGCTGCCCTGCCCATGTCCTGTACTCTGCTAACACCGCTGATGCTACCACCTTCCCTCAGACCCGCAGCTTATTTATGGATCTGCTTCTCCTCAAGGGCTACTAAGTCATGGTACCACTACTCTACTCTCCTGCTCCTACCTGTAGGACAGCAGCACAACCAGGCAGAAGCAGCGCCGCGGGTTCGCCAGATTTCAGCAGAAATGTTACAGAGGAATTGAGCCGCGGGTAGGAAACACGGCGGGCTCTGATTCCGCAGGTGATGCCGCAGCCGTGCCGGGGGTGCCCGGTTGTGCCCGGAGCTCGGGGGCAGCTGCGGGGCCGGGAATGCCCCGCTGGGACCGGGAATGCCCCGCTGGGACCGCTCCGGGAGCCGCCAGCGAGCGGGACCCTCGGGGAGGTTTGCAGAGCATCCTCACCCCGTGGAGAGCCCGAGCAAAGCCCTGCCCGGTCCTGCTTCGCGGCGGGGACGGAGCGCGGATGCGTCCCCGAAACCACCATCGGAACGGGGTGGGAGGGCCCCGAACCCAAACCCAAACTCCAGCAGCGCCCTCGCTCCCCTCTGCTCCTGTGCCAAGGCAAACGGCGGAGGGCAGCGGGAACAGGCCCGGGGCGAAGCTCGAAGCGGGATGCGCTGCGGAGCGGCGGGCTCGGAGCTGCCCAGGAGCCGGGGACACACGCGGGGACCGGCCCGAACAGGGCTTGGAGGGAGCGAGGAGCGATGCTCAGCGCAGCACGAGTAACGCACATCCCTAAAAATAAAAAACACTAAAAAAAAAAATATCAGAGGAAAAGTTTTCCAGACTCCAAGCACTCGTCAAACATACTTTAAAGATTAAATTATTTATTTCCTCTGGGGACTCCTGTAACCATTCATTTTTAATGGAGTCTAATTAAGAGTTCCCCAACGGGTTTTACTTTTGTAAATATTTTAGATGATTTGGCGTATCTAAGCAAATCCTCCGGACAAAAAAAAAAAAAAAAAAAAAAAAAAAGGGAAATGCACAACAAACCGAGGCGGAGCCGTAATCCCTTCGCTCCCCGCCGGCCGAGAGAACGAGAGAAGGCAGCCGGGCGGGGAGGCAACAAGTGGCCGCGACTCGCAGAGCGGCAGCCCCGGCCCGGCTCCCGCTTCACTTGGAAAGAAAACCAAATCCAAGGAGCGCATTTCTCCCTCGCCCGCCCCCCAAAACACAAACGCAGCCGGAAGGTGCCGGCAGCTCCCGGAGCGGGCGGCGGGGCCGCGATGAGCGGGGAGCCCCGGGATGGGCTCGGCCCTGCCCCGCTCCGCTCCCGCAGCCGCGGGGGATCCGCACAAACCGCCCCGACACCGCCGACGTGACTGATAGAAAATTTATTGATCTCTCTTCGTTCGGAAGAAGGAAGCAAACGAGGACTAGGAACAGGGAAGAAGTATTTCAATAACTTTTTTTTTTTTTTTTTTTTTGTGGAAGGAATCCGGTAACAAAACTAAAACTTTTTTTTTTTATCTGATATGTCAAAACATGGTTCACAGTAAAATTCACAAACCCATTTACATAAGTTTACAGCTTAAGAAAAACCAAGACATACAACTTACTATAAATAAAAGAAACGCGTTTGCGACCCGCACAGCTCTGCTCTCTCCCACCTCCCCCTTTTCAAGGACTAAAACCTCAAAATTAAAAAGTCGTGGAAGCTACAGATTGCCGATAGAAACCAAGCGAGGGTCGGTAACAAAACACTTAATAAACCACAGCGATTATGTGAACAACCGAGTTTAAAAACAAAAGCCCGCGGTTTTTGTTTATGTCATTGCAACGCTAGAAATCAAACTGGAAGATGCGGGGTTTTTTTTTTTAACTTTCAAGCGAATAAAACAATACCCAACCTAGCCGAAACGAGGAAAGGAGTTGCCGTGGTTTGAAAACTTCACAGCGGCTTCTAGGAGGCAGGAGTTGTGCTCTATTAAAATAACAACTTGCTCAAATATTATTTCTTGTACAAAACAAAACAAAAAAAAAAGGTACACAACTAACGGATTTCCTTTTTAAAATTTCTCCAAAGTTAGTATTAAGTCTGCTAAGCCGAGCAACACTGCCGTAGGTCCCGGTGTAGTCAGGGAGCGGCGGTGGGTTAGGGATGAAGCCGGGGAGCCGTGCGGAGCAGCCAAGTTTATATGTGAGTTAGTGGTACGGTACCATTGACGGCAGTCCCGGCACTCTGGTAGTGCTGGTGCACGCTGTGTAACCTGCTGCCCTGCAGCGCGGAAGGGTCTGTGGCATCCCCGCCGGGGGGCAGGTACATGCTGATCATATCCCGCAGGTCTCCCAGGCAGGCCCTCTGCGAGTGGGAAGTGATGGCCGGGGGCGGCGAGCTGGGCTCGGATTTCACCACGGAGCCCATGGAGCCCAGGCTCATGGCCGAGGAGGGCTGCTGCCCGTAGGCGGCGGGGGACATGCTGTAGGTGGAGGCGGCGTTCATGTAGGTCTGGGCCGTGGACATCATGGGGCTGTACTGCAGGCCCGGCATGTCGTAGCGGTGCATCTGCTGCAGCTGCGGGCTGTTCATGCCCGGGTGCTGGCTGTAGCCCAGCTGCTCCTGCATCAGCGAGTAAGCCCCGTTGGTCCAGCCGTTCATGTGGGCATAAGTGTCAATCCTCTGCCCCACCCCGACGGGGCTGCTCACCGCGTTGCCCCCCCCCGGAGCCAGCAGGTTACCGGGCAGCGAGTATTTGTCCTTCTTCAGCAAGGTCTTGGTCTTCCTCCGGGGCCGGTATTTGTAATCCGGATACTCCTTCATGTGCACGGCCCGCAGCCGCTTGGCCTCGTCGATGAAGGGCCGCTTCTCGGCGTCGCTCAGCAGCTTCCAGTCGGCGCCGAGGCGCTTGCTGATCTCCGAGTTGTGCATCTTGGGGTTCTCCTGGGCCATCTTCCGCCGCTGCCCGCGCGACCACACCATGAAGGCGTTCATGGGGCGCTTCACCCGGTCCTGGTCCGAGCCCGCTCCCGCTCCGCTGCCGGCCCCGCCGCCTCCGCCGCCTTTGCCGGTGCTGCCCGGAGCGGAGCTGCCCCCGGTGCTGCCCGGCGTGGGCTGCGGCGCCTTGATCTCCGTCTCCAGCATGCTGTACATGGCCGGGGCCGGTAAAAGGTGCGCCAGGGCGGCGGGCAGGCGGGCACCGAGCGAGGAGAGGAAGTTCAAAAAAAAAAAAAAAAAAGAAACAAACAAACAAAAAAAAATGAAAGAAGAAAAAAAAAAAAAAACCTGCCTGGGCGGCTGCCACGAGAGAAGGAGGAAGTTCGGGTGCCTGGCAGAAGCGCCGCTCCCCGAGGTGCCGGCGGTGGCGGAGCTGCTGCTGTGCGGAGCGGCTCCCGCGGGCGGCAGCGGTGATGCGCGCTCGGATCGCGGGGGTCCGTGATTGACGGGCTATAAATGAGGGGGCGGCGGCCAATCAGCGAGCGGTTCCCGGCAGCCCCAGGCCGGGGTCTGACCGGCCGGGGGGCGGGCGGAGGGACCCTGGCCCGGGGATGCCGCGGCCGCGGGTGCCGGGCCCCTCCCGCAGCCCCCGGCAGCCCCCGGCCCTGCCCCTGCCCCTGCCCCGGGGCAGAGCGGCTCCAGCAGCCGCGGCACGGAGGGGAAGGAGCGGCCCGGGGGAAGGAGCGGCCCGGGGGTGCCCTCGGGGCCGTGGGGAGGAGGAGCGGGGCGGAGCGGAGCGCTGCGAGCGGGAGCTGCGCGGTTGCCGGGCACAAAGAGGTTTGGGGCTCCCGGGCTGATGCACAGTCCCGGGCCAAGCTCGGAGAGGCTGCCCGGACACCGAGCGAGCCCGCACTGCACGGACGCACCTCCGGAGCGGATAAAGGGGCGGGGGAGGGATGGACGGGCTAAACTCTTCCACTCCTGAGCTGGGAGAATCTACATTGCCGTGCCGGGATCGGGCACGGCTGTCACTGGGAGAGGGGCTGCCCCGCGGGGCCAGGATGAGTGGCTACTGACCGGCGCTCCCGGCCATCCCCATCCACACCCACCCCGCTGCCACTTGAGCTTTTCCACTCGGCTGCCCCAAAACGGGAGGGGGGGGGAGGAATAGAGGGGACGGCGCTTGCGAATCCCCCGAGTTTCATGGCAACAGAAAGTTCTCTCCGTGTGAAAGAAAACTTTGGCGGCGGATATGTGAGCGGAGCGGCGCCCACTGGAGCTGTCAATCGCCGGCTTCCCTGTCCGCCCCTCCCCTCCCTTTACCCCTCCTTCCCTTCCTTCGCCGGAGGCACGGACACCGCACCTGCACGGGCGGGGCAGGCGGGCTGGGCTGCCCCATCCCTGCTCTTCCTCTCCCTCCCGCGGCCCCGCTCAGCTCCGCCTGGAGAAGCCGGGCGGCTCTGCGGGCCGGGCAGCGCTGGGGCAGGAGAGGCGAGGCGAGCCGCAGGCTGCTCGGGGAAAGCCTCGCTGCGGGGAATGCGGGCAGCATCGCCGCTGTAGCGATGAGCAAACTGCCCCAGGGGCGTGTGGGCTGCCGGGGAGGGTCATGGGCCCTGAGGTGCGGACGTGTCTGAGCCTCCCGTCCCGTCCTGGGCGGCCCGGCGAGGAGCGATGCTGCCGCCGCAGCTCCCCGGCTTGGCGGGCACCGGGGTCACCCCAAAGACAAGACCGCGGGTGTGAGGACGGTAATCGGCACAGGGGCAGGGCGGGGATGAGGAGCTCCCGGCCCCGCTGCAGCCCGCACGGCGCTGCAGGGACTGGAACCAGCACGGTGGCGTGGAGAGGGGTGATGTGAGCCGATCTGAGCACTGCTGGGATTTAGCACTTGAAGGTTTCGCTCGTTTTGTGCGGATTTTTTTTTTTGACAAAATGATCTGTTGAACAACGTCGAAGGGGAAATAAATCCCGCTTGCGACCGGCTATGGGGTAGCCGGCACAAAGGTTTTTGCTCGGTTTGCTGCTGCTGTATTGAGCGAAGTCAAAATGTGGCAGCCCGAGGGGACAGGGTGACAGCGGAAGGCGGGAGTGGTTTGCTTGTAACTTTTGTAATATTTTGGGAAAGCTTCAGACAGTCGTAATTAACTTCTAACCCTCAATATATTTTGGTCCCTCCAGTCGAGGTTTAAGACCTGCCAGACTGGTAGGAAATCGGACTGATATGTATCCCAATACTTTGATATTTCTTTAGATGAGCGTTTGTTGGAGGGACTGGACACGCTAGCATGCAACGAAAAATTGGGCTGAGTAGAGAATCAGAGGACGTGCTGAAATCCCCCTGAATAGTATTTCCGTCAATGTTTAAATAAATATTGCAGCGTTAAGTTTCGGACTCTTACTTTATCTTTCAATTCGTCTTTGAACTGCTTGAGTATCAAATTAAAGGTTTTTTTTCCTCTAAAAGCCAAGCGCTTAAGCACGTTTAAGGTCCATATTATTTCAAACCAAGACAACATTTCTCTTGAACGCTAATCTTGTAAAAGAACTGAATAAAAATATAAGTACAGACTCATGGATTTCCAGATTTCACAGCTCCCTGTAATGCTCCCGCTGCTCTTGGCTTGCCACGCCGCACATGTTGTGAGGAAAACTTCGGAATGCGGCTGATTGCTATTTGCAGAAGGGGTGAGCAGGACCCTGTGCTCGGCTGGGATTTCGGCAGCGGAGCCCGGAGCCGCCTTCCCTCCCTCGGGGCTGTCCCCGGAGCGCGCTCCCGGGGCTGTCGCCGCTCGCAGGTGGCCACAGCAGCCCCTTCCCCTGGCCACCCCGCACCGTCCTTGTCCCTGCTCTGCAAAGGGCGGAGAGGCGGCGTGGGGAGCCGGAGAACGAGGCGAGCCCGCTGGAGCAGCTGCCGCTCCCCAAAGTTCCCTGCAGTGCGCTTTGAGACCCCACTGCACCCCCCTGGCAGCAAACCCGAGCCTTTGGCTCTCCCCGGGAACGGGGACGGAGCCTGCGGAGCTGCCGGGACGCGGGGAAGGGCCGAGGGCAGGAGGGACCCAGCCCGGCACACAAACCTGATGCCTGGAGCCATTGTCTTAAATCCGCTACGAGGGAAGCCCCGTGTGTCTGGTGGGGGTCGGAGAACATTTGAGGTCGTGTAAATACAGTTGTCAAAGGCTGAGGAGCCTTTTATTATTGTTATTTATTTATTTGGGTGACAAAGGAGCGTGAGGCGAGATAAGGAGTTTACAGCACAACCCAACTTGCACGCGAGAGAGACGCGGCGCTTGCAAAGGGCCATTTGAAAGGGAATGGCTGGGATTTCTGCGAGATCCACGCTTAATAAGAAAGAACTATTAATATATGTTAATTGCAGCTCCAGAAGAGCTCGGGGGAATCTTGGAACTGTGTCAGGGACGATCGCTGGCTTTTAAAGAATAAGTCTATGTACGAACCCGGCCCCGTCTAATCCTGTTATTAAAACGTCCCCTAGGTCACCAGCCTAATTTCCGACCACGATCAGCGAGGGCTCGTCCTCGAAATTTGCCCAGACAAGGGAGCTGGGCGCCTCTTTCGTTTGGACCCTGCTGACCCTCGCCGGGCTGATCCTCTGAAAATGCCCAGCCTTTTAGCGATGCTTAAGATAAGAGTTCACGCGATCCCCGTTTCAGGCTAGCATTCAGAAGTTTTCAGAGCGGTAATGTGCCTGCTAAATGGGCCATTTAAGGCTGGTTCTACAGCTAAAGGTCGTTAGGAGATTTTTATTTTGTTTTATTCTCCATTTAAGTGTCACGCCAAAACGCAGTTCGAGATTGCTGCTGCCTCCCTCGCCGCGGGGCTGACAGGGCTGGAGCGACCTCCCAGCCTGGCCAGGGGGACAACAAAATCATTAGTTCCGACAAACGAGCTCCAAGTCCTTCCCGAGGCTGCCCCAGCGCCTCGCCGCGTGGAGATCGCAGCTGTACACAGCCTCCAGCTGTCCCTGCTGCTCGCCGATCCGGGGAGGCAAGGGTTACTTCTGATGACATCATTAAAAATCGCAACATTTAGGAACAAAAATCTGAAGTGCGTGGGTAAACCCGGCCAGCGTCGTTTGGTCATAGCTCGATCCCTTTGAACTGAGCCTCCCAGCGCGTTCAGGAGGCAGCGGGGAATTTTTTTTTTTTTTTTTTAATCACTTCCCTCCCCCCGCCCCCCCAGCTGAACTTTTATTTGGCTTCTGCCAACAATAGAGGGCTGCAAACAGACCTCTCGGAGCGCCCTCTGAATAGACCCTTTTCGAGCCCGGATTGTTTCCACCGCCACAAAAAAACAACCAGTAGCTCCCGTTTTTTAATTGGGTTGTTCCTGGCCCTGGCTCATTCAGGTGTTCGCGAGGAATTTGTTTATTAGCCTTTGACAAACAGCCCTTCCTGGCAATCGCCTCACGGAGCTGTCTTCGGCGGGAGGGGAGGGATGCGGAGGGGGCAGTTTGCTAATAAGGACTCTCTCCATCCCCGAGTTACCAATTAACAGAGTTGTAGAGGGGACCACCAGCACAGGATAAGTCGCCAGGGCTCGCTGCGGAGCCCCGAGGAAACCACAGATTTAGCTGCTGTGTTTTCACGCAAAACCACCGAGGGAAAAACCAGCCCGAGAATAATGCCAAAGAGACCACCCCCGCTGCCCAACGGCTGGCAGAAATCTCATCCCCGGTGGATGAGACAGGAGCAGGCACTTTCTGCAACTTCCCCAACCCTCCAGAACCCCCCGAAGGAATAACCCAGCCCCAGCACGGCTCGCCCGGGGCGCAGCTGGAGCCCCCATCCCTCGCAAGCCGGGGGGATGTGGCGCTTGGGGACACGGCTCGCTGATGGGCTGGCGGTGCCAGCTTCACTCGCTGATCTCCAGAAGCCTTTTCCAACCTCAACGATCCCATCGTTCTCAATCGTTCTCACACCTCAGCTCCGTTTGCGCGCCCCCGGGCAGGGCAAAGGTGGCCCCGCTGTCCCCCCTGCGGGTGGCCCTGGGGACAGCGGGGACACGGAGCGGCTCTGGGGACACAGCCCGGTGCGGGTGGCCCTGGGGACAGCGGGGACACGGAGCGGCGAGCACCGGGCCGGGGGGCTCCGGGCACAGCCGCCCCTTCCCCCGGGGCAGGGACAGGGAATTCCCGGCTGGGAATCCCCCCCATCCCCGCTACTTGTTGTGGGGCTTTAGCGGAGACACAAAAAAAAACCCCCAAACCAAACAAACCCCACAAACTCAAATAATCTCTGTTTTTCCCGTTTAAAACTTCGAGAAGCTTTCCTCCTCCGGCGTTTTCTGTACAGATGCAATAACCACCTTATTTACTGGTAATCATGGCCATGCTCCTTTTTAGCGGTTGGATTAGAAATCGGACATTAATTGTAAAACTCTAACTTGCTAATTAGCTGCAAATAAACTATTCATTAGTGGCAAATTAAAATCAAAACACACCTTATTCCTACACTCTGACACGCAGTTTTGAAGGCACATATTGTTTCAAACTACAGCCTGTATCACTGGCACAGCAAATTGAGATCCTGAAAGGTTTCTCTCCAGGATATATAATTAAAATATATTCTACTTTAATTGACATTATAGAGGACACAAATGAGATTTTCCTTTTAGAAAGAAATAGCAGTTTCTAAATAAAGCTTTGCAGGCTGCAGAATGGAGGTTTCAAGCAAATGAATAGTCATTACTACCTTTTCAATGATGTGGGCCTTTTGATCAGAAAAGAAATTAGCTCTAAAGGACAGACAATAGGAAGCCTGCCCTGCAATAGGAAGAAAATTAGATGGCTAAGGCTCTTAACAACACCTATTTCTATAAACCATGGAGCTTCTTGCTTTTCAATTACAGCTGTTCATTTCAAATAAGGAAAGTGGAAAAACACAGAGGGGAATATAAACTCTGTTGCACCAAAAAAAAGCCCAAGACAAGGCAGGCAGGCTGCTTTCCCATTTTCCTTTTGTTTTTATTATAATCAGTTAACTAATATTACATATTTTATAATACTCAGACAGCCCAGGATAACATTCTCCAGGTCATTCAGGACGGATTATATTCAGTAAAGGAACTGGTGAAACATGAGAAACTTCTTGTTAGGTAGCTGGATGTTTCCACTGCACATCAAATAATTACATTTTGCACATGCATCTCATACTTGTGTCCATTCTGCAGAGAAAACAAAACAGGGCTGAAGAACCTGAGGAAAATGAAGTGCTGAATAACACTCTGCTGTCTTTTGGCGATAGTCAAAAACTAACCCCACTTGTTCTGAACTAAATTGAGTTTTTTCATTACACTCAGGACCGAGAGATTACTTCAGGCACGTTCTCCCCACATTACTTTTAACCCGTTATTATTTAAAAAATAATACTTATACTCTCAAAGTATAAAATTAACTTGCTGCGTAACAGCTTCTAACTATGAGCTCTGTTTCAAGTTATTTAGTTTGAAATGTATTTTTGAACATTATTCTCCTGCATATAAAAATAATACAAGTCTTCTTGTGAATCTGAGATGCAATCATAGAAATAAACCTTTCTTCCTCTACCATTTCTCTCTAGCCACACTTGTATGATTGGGTGCAACAAGTAAATTATAATTTGCTATTGTCCAATCAATATGTTGTAATTGAAATAATCTTTCAGTAATGATTTAAACATAATAACCACAAAGCTTTATTGTAAATAAGTTCTGTTCTCATATTAACTCAGCTGGACTACAGGGATGTCTTTAAAAAAAACCCATAAAATCACAAAGATTACACACACATTGTTCATCCTTCCGGTTAATCTATTTATCACTTTCATATTTTCTCATTTCCTTCTCCCCAATCCTCAGTCTTTTTTTTTTTTTTTCTTCCTGTCTCCTTCCTTGTTGTATTTTTTGTTTAGAAATCAGGTTAGATGTTTAATTCAAAGAGTTGATCAAATAAATATGAATTGGTTTTGCTCTGATAAGGTGTCTTTAAATTCTTTTCATCTCTGAAAAAGTGAGTGTTCAAGAAAAATTCTTTTTCCCTGTCCAAGAACCTAAATCATGTTTGTCTTCCACCTAGAAGTGATTTTAGTATGAAATACAAATGACAGCTTTCTATTTGGTGTCTGCATGTCCCTTCACTCCTGCCTGGCCCTGAGACAGAGAATAAAAGAAATAGTTTAATCTGGTAAAGAATGATCTCCTAACTCCCAGAGTGGAGTCACTCATGTCAGTATTTGAAGTAATCTCCCTGCTTGAGAGCAGTTAGAAAATTATGAATAATGCAAACTTCTGCCTCCGTTTTTACTGGAACAAACATTTTTTAAAAAAAAAAGATCTTAATTACAACGTTATTTGATTTGAAATTATTTTGTCTCAGTAAAGTCACCCG